ATATTCCTAAAAACCCAAACTGTTTGCATGCACATTGAGTGTCTTACTTGTGGTAGGAGTAGGCCTTTCTGTTAAAGCCTGTAATAACAACCGATTTAGGTGCCACCCTCTAACTGATGGACAGCACAACTAACTACAAAGTGGCAGAAGTGTGCATTGTTTTGTAGGCCAAAGTGCAAATGCTGACAGAGAAGTATGTTTGGGTGGTGACTGAGCAATGTCTGCGCTCAAAGGAGAATCCTTTAAACGGTTATTAAACCCTTGCATGTTTTTGCATATATTTACTGCAGTAGATATATGGAAAACGTTTAAAAAAAACTTTTTTAAAAGGGTCAAAACTTGCCTGTGTCTTCGCCGCGCGCTCCCATCCGTACATCTGAAGAGTCTCGGGCGGCCGCAAAGGATCTTGGGGCAGGCGCATGCGCAATTCAGATGTTCAGCCGGGAGTTGAGGAGAGACACAAGGTAAGTCTATGGAGCAGCGTGCACCCGCACAGACTCCGTGGGACATCAGAGAAGAGGAGGACAGAGGAGTCAGCGCTGGATCGTAGACCCGCACCAGCGCGGGAGGGACATCTGAAAACTATACTAAGGAAGATGATGATCGGATTAAGAGGCACGCTTTAAGGCAAGTCCTGACACTAACATTGGGGGGGGAGGGGAAAAAAATTAGCCTTTAATGTCACTTTAACTGTGTAGTCAACCCAAAGTTACATGTGCAGACTGTGTGTGTGTTCTCCCACAGTGTTGCAGCTCCCCAGGCTGAAGTGGGGCAGCACCACAATCCTCGCTAGCTTTTACTTATCAATTGTTGGTCAACTTTTTGGCGCTTCTGATTTGTTTTGACTGTGTGTACATGACCACATCTCAGATTGGTAAACTTATATGGAAAACTTATATTCTAGTATTTCTATCATAACATGTTGATAATTTTTCAGATTGTGACCCATCAATCCATGAGAAAAAGGATCATCCCTATTGCAAGGAGACTTTTTAACAAGCTATAATTCCCCCTAGGGCAGTCCCACATGGCCCAAGCATTGCACTGGACCATTTGCAGCCACACCTTAACTGATAAATGATCAAAGCTATTTATCAGAGTGCTGAATATTTGAGGGTGTTCCCTCCATTACCCCAAATAAAAGAGAAACCAAACACCATACAGTCCTCAGAGGACAGCTGTAGCAGCACCAGATATTTAGCATCCTGAACTGTAAAGACAATAGTTTTATATAAATGTTTTGTGTCCTTAGCAAACCCTTGGCTTTATGGCGCTAACTGGAATTATGTTACAACATTGCTGCAAAAATTACCACACACTTTGCATTGCAAATGTCTCATATGGGACTCCTGTAGGGCTGGACAAATCTCAGGAGCCAGGTAGCCAATGCTTCTTAAAAATTACAGCTGGTGTCAAACTTTTGGGGTTCTCCCTAGTTGTTGTCAATGGACCTGTCCCCTGAAAAAAAAAATCCTGCTGGCACCTGGATTGGACAGACTGGCCACCCCCAGACTATTATATACAAATTGTGATTCCTGAAATTTCCAAATACAGTAAACTCCCCGTTATCTGGCATCCATTGGGGATTGGTAGATTCCAGGTAAATGTAGTTTCTGGTTGCTTGAGAGATACCATTAAAAATAGATCTAACTAATGCCATACCACATACTATACCATATCATAACATAAACTCTGTATTGACCTCATATTAATATTGAAATGCAGTAATCAAAAGCAAATGAAGACAAATAGACACAATCGTTTGCAGGATAATACATGCCACAGATCAGCAAAACAGGGTTTTTTTCTGGTTAGATGAGAGTTCTGGTTAGTTGAATACCAGATAACAGAGTTTACTGTACATAAGCAAGGATGATATACATGTGAATAATCAATTGTTCAACTTTTTATTGTTTTTTCTTGTTGCTTGCAATAATCTCATATTTACTTTTAGGCCTCATGCACACACAATGCAAAAGCAAAATTGAATATTGCTTATATACGCGTATATGCGTGCACTATCTGCAATCCCACAATGCATCATTCGTAATAGCAATGTTAATGAACTGTATGCGCGTAAATACGCAGAAATACGCTGCCCGGACGCATCTCGGTTCCATTCTGTTTTTGCGCATATGTACGCTACGCAAATATACGGCTCCATACGCAGCTATGTGTATGGAGCCATTTATTTGCATATGCTGCATATGGTACTGTAGGCGCATATAAACGGCAGTGTGAATAAGGCCTTAAATGCATGGAAGACATTTCAAAGTTGTTGACAGTGGGACATAGAGCCACCTGTTCACTGCAAATGTATAATGGGCATTGGCATTTAATATATGGAAGACAGGTGAAATGAAGTCTGAGCAGGAAAATGTGTCATGGGGATGTAATTCCAATTACCTTTATTTTCTCAGGATTCGGAGCACAGCAGTGTGTCTAGGGTGTAAAAATTCTAACTTATAGGGTTATTCACTAAAGGGTGAAGAGTTTGGAGAAGGCAAGAGAAGTGAACAATCTAGAGCAACATAGCTGAAGTAGAAAAATTCTCCCATATAGCTCACTTTCCAGTTCAACTATGTTGTCCTAGATCAGGGGTAGCCAAACTCTGGCCCTCCAGCTTTGGTGAAACCGTAAGGCCCTGTTCACACCTTTACGTTTTGTCGTGCGTTCAACGCTCTATGAACGCTCTACAAAAACGTACAAACTTGAAAATCCCATTGTTTTCTATGGGTATGGTTCACACCTTTCCGTATTTCAGCCCGTCTGAACGCGCTAAAAAACGGCCTACGCCTAAAGAAGTACATGTACTTCTTTGGGGCGTTTTGGTCTCGCGTTTCCATTGGGATACAGCCAAGTAGCCCTCGGAAACACGTGTTTGTCGCGCGTTTTTTTACCGTGAATCGCGGTAAAAACGTGTGACAAACGCGCATATTCAATACGCCTAGGTGTGAACCCAGCCTTAATCCCATGATGCATCTCTCTCTGGGAGTCATGTCTGTGGCTGTGAGAATCTTGCAATGCCTCATGGGATTTGTAGTTCCACCACAGCTGGAGGGCTGGAATTTGGCTACCCCTGTCCTAGATGGTTCACGTCTCCCGTCTTCTCCAAACTTCACCCTTTTGTGAATAACCCTGTATCTAAAAACTTCCAGTACCCATGCACCTTTTTTTTTAAAGCACGATGTAACATACGGTCCATCAGCAGTCTTCAGCTAGAGGACCATGGGGTACATGTAGTAGACCTTTTCGATACTGTATGCCCTTGCAGTCTGGTCCACAAGCATGACCTGGACATGAGTAAGCATTTGTCAGCGATATTGTTCTTCACCGATTAGCAAAGTTTAGGTGTTTCCAATATCATGATATTACTGGTGCCACCATTTTAACAGTGGGTATTATTATTTTAGGCATCACTACAGCATGTCAATTAACGTTACCGTAAATAACAGTGTGCAGCAGCACAAGAGGGACTGAAACCCAGGGGGGTGTCTGCAAAGGCCATACACTCATGAACTGGTGTCTGCGCCATAAAACATTTTTGGATTAGAGTATCAACCATATAAAAATATTTTTGAGGTATAGAGCTATAAAACCATACAGGCTTCTGATGCTACTACATGGAGACTACCGGCTGTATTAGTAAGGACTGTCATGTGGTGTTATTGTTTATAGAAAGCAGTGAAGCACAAGGAAAAAAAAAATGTTGCTTTATAAATAAATTCAGCTAAAGATAATAATTAGCCAAAGTCCCTTGTGGCAAAGAACATCTCAGGTGAAGACATAATTGTGTATTTTTCCAGCAAGAAAGGGAAAATGAGTTATTGTAACGTAACTGACTCTCTGACAGCGCAGGCTGTTCCTCCACATCCACTGTCAGTCATGCCCCATTCTTATACTAACACCGCCAAATTCATGTAAATCCACTAATACAACACACGCCACAATAATCAATGATATACAGAACAAAAAACAATAAGATCCACAAACTCCAAAAGTCCTCTGCTCTAGTACCTGATGCCTCCATTGCCATGCTGACTTCCGGAACAAGTTCCACATGCTCAATATATACACACACGTAACAAAACTATGCAATATGTAAACAACAGTAACACTTCTCAGAGCATCATCCAAAGATTGCAGAGGACACGATCCAACGACGACGCTCACCTCTCCTAAATTCTACCACCTTGGAGGCTAAAGATACAATAAAAACTGAAGGAATATGATGACCAATCCAAAAGTCATTATTACAATGAGCAGATGACAGAGCGGAGAGTCATTAGCTTGAAAGGATGTGTGTCTAGGCGAGCAGGGGCTTGATGAAAGAAGATTTATGAACCTGCCATGTCCCTGCAATGTTTTATTAGCCATCCTCGGGCACAAGCAGGATGTGTAATTAGTTGTTCCGCTCGCCCAATAAAGGCCCCTGCAAAAAGAGATAAATAAAAGGAGCTAAAGATGTTAACTGCGTGAAATGGAGTCTGCAATGACAATGCCACAGAAGCTTATTAAATCCACGGATTCCCATAGGGAAGCATAGGTTGTGCCCCCCACCCCCCATTCACACCTGAGCGCTTTGGGCGCATTGTCCTACGCGTGACGACGCTCAACATCACAATTGCATTCTTTTCTGTGGCCGTTCACATGTTTACGTTCAGTCGCTTGGTTGCATGGTTTTAGGCCCCCCTCGACTTCAGGCGCAAGTTTACAGGCATTTCCTTTGAAGAACTGCTCCCCTCATCTACAACTGCATTCCATTGGCCAAAACAAAAGCACCTGAATATTTACAACTGTGCAAAGCTTGCAAAATGAGCATGTTTTGGATAACATTTCATAGGAATATATGCCACAAACAAAGCTCTGGGTAGGCGCTGTGCCCGCTTCGGGGAGGGCTGCGCCTGCGGGACTTTGCACTTGTCCCCGTGCACGCTCCGTCCGAGAAGGGCGCCTTTTTTTCATATGAAAACACGCGGATTGTGCACATTTCTACTCACGGTTTCAGGGGGTTGTGAATGACAGTCGCCATCTTGCTACAATGTAACAGAATATTGTCTGTCTCAGAGTTCTGAAGGTTCGATACGGGAGGGGAGGGGGGGTGAGGGGACAAGCGAATCAGGGTAAGGGCTACCGGCGCCGCAGCCAATCAACGCCAAGTGGGCGTGTCGTGGAAGGGGTGTTCTGCTAGGTATTAGGGAGCTGTCAAAGCGGCAGAGGTCACTCCCTTGGGTGGCCGGACGGGGAGCAGTAAGGGAAGAGGAAGGAGAAGGGGGGTGGGTTTGCTGACCTCGCTGGGGTTAAATATGTGCGGGGAACCGATTAAAGACGTGCATGCTGTGTACATCGCGCTGCATGCATATCGCGACCGAAGTGGCGGCGACTTGCCTGCTTGTGTCCACGCTGGACCGGAGCCAGCTCGACAAAGCGCAGACGCCGCACGGCCCGTGATATTTATCTAAATAGCCGCGACCAAGTTTCATGCATTGGAATTGTTTCTTCCCATGATACCTTCCCCCACCCCTCTCTTGTTTCTTCCTAGGGGTTCTCTGGCTGTGCTGATATATGAGATTCTCCTCCCACCCCTGCCCCCTGCTATTTTCCAGTGTCAGCTAATATCCAGCGGCCACTACTCCTCCTGCACTGGGAGGTCACTCAATATTGGCAGAATGAGGCGATTGCTATGTGGATGTCACTGTAGGGCGCTGTACAATCTGCTTTTCAGCAGCAGCATCCTCTTAGTAACAAGGAGAAGAAAAAAAAAAAGTGTTTTGTGATAAAGTAACTTTAGTCACCCGCTACAGTTCTGTTTCTGAAGCACAATGTACAGCTGAGTTGTGTAAATCACCTGTCATGGGGCCCCTAAGGTTCCTCATGAATGGTCTGTCCTTCTATGGCTGGGGCTGCAATTTCATGCCAGCGATCCTTGTAGAAGCAGAACGGATCCCAGGAACTTCCACACCGAGATGATGCAGCATTTCTCAGCTTAATGAGGATTCATTTGTTAAAGTAGAACTCCATCCAATATGATTTTTAAAGCTGATCTCTGCTCTACGCAAATAACAAATGGCATTCTTACTTGAATTCTGCTCTGATTTGTGTAGTTCAGCGGTGGGCATTATAAGCCAGAGCTGTAGCTAGATCCTTTTGCACTTGAGGCAAGAACAGAAAATTGTGCACCCCAACAGGCGCGTGATGTCACGCGCAGCGCCGGTCTTCAGGATGACGGGGCAGAATCCGCTGGTTCCCGAATCCGAAATAACACTGTCACTTCAGGATGGCCGAACGGTGAGGAGAGAGAGACACCAGCTGTCTTATGTGGGGGGGGGGGGGTTGCTTGAGAATTACTATTAACTCTCAGACAACCAGAAAAGAGCTATCTGGCATCTACCAATCCCCGTGGGTGCTGAACAACTGGAAGTTTACTGTATATTAAACACACATTTTCTCTAGCTGTCCTTGGGATAGCACTGTGACCATGCCAGGAAGTGACAATAAATCTCTCCAACATGCACAAAAGAACAATACCATTTTTTTTTTTTCATTTTTAGAAAGGGGGAAGAAGGCTGGAACATCTGTTGTATTGCTGTTGGAGATTTCCTCTCATCTCCTGTCCTGACAACAACAATGTCACCAAGACAGGAAGTGAAGAGAAATCTCCCCATGGCGAACAAACTTATGGGTTTGTTCTTCTGGCACCAAAATTAATTCCCTATAATGCTTAGCATTGTACTGGGAACTGTGGCCAGGTGGAACATTCTGACCAATAAAGTGGTTTTAACAATGTGCCTGCCCCCTCACTATACATGTCAGCTCTCCCATCAGTCTTTTGTTTGTGTGTGTGTTGGAGTTAGGCCCCATTCACACCTGACCGTTTTGTAGCGCGTCCTACGCTCGATGAACGCTCTACAAAACGGTCAAAAAAATAAATAGCATTGTAGTCAATGGTATCGTTCCCACCTGTCCGTATTTCCGCCCGTCCCGAACGCACTACAAAACGGCCCACGCATGAAAAGGTCCCGGAGCGTTTTTGCTGCGTATTGGTCCGTTTTGTAGGGCGTTTGCCATTTGGATACTGCCAAGTAGCCTTTGGAATCGCGCGACTTTTTTACCGCGAATCGCGGTAAAAAAACGCGTGACAGACGCGCATATTACAATACGCATAGGTGTGAATGGGGCCTTAATGCTACTATACTATGCAGTGCTAGTGTGCTTTCACAGGAGCTGTACACTGGCATATACAGTGCTATTGATCTGAACTGGAAACTGAGCTGAATTTGATAATTTTTCTACATCAGCTATTTTGTCCTAAATTGTTCACTTCTCCTGCCTTCTCCAAACCCTTCACTCTCTAGTGAATAACCCTGTAAGAGTCCGAGGCAGAGGTTGTTCAAATGCAGCTATTATGGGGCGAGTAGGTTTTGCATCAGCAGGTCAAAGCAGTGATGGCTACACCATCAAAATGTAGCACACCTCTGCCTTTCTTCTTAAAGGAGAACTATGGGGTTAAGGCTTTTCCCCATAGTTCTCCTTAGGGTAATGGGAGGAAACAAACTAGCGTCCTCCCGTCACCCTAAGCTCAGTATACCGCGAGCTACAGCTGAAGCGGATCCCGACAATTATGTCTGGATCCGCCCAGCTGCGTGAGTGACCGCTGCTATCTAGAGGCAGATCCAGCTGTACCCGCCCCCTCCCCCGTCCGTTCCACCAGTCAGCGCTGGCGGGGAGGGGGGAATCCAGCCCCTCCCCTGTCACGGCAGAGAGCTGTGACAGGATCGAGAGGTGAGCAAACGCCGGTAGGTGTTCGCTCACCTCCCGATCTACCGAGCCGACCTGTGACAGTTTAATTGTCACAGGTCAGCTAGAACTATGAGGTGAGTGAAAAGCACTCACCTCATAGTTCTCCTATAACCAGTTGGAGTGCTATGCAGCCAAAGCATGCAAACGAAGCGGTGTGGTGGAAAACCAACATTCATCATCTGCCTTCTTTTCCCAGGCACCAAGTAGAGCACAGTCATCAGCAGCTGCACATGCACCTTGCTCTTTCTCTTCTCCCACAGCTAATCCTGCCATTGCCTCGTAAACTGTAATAGAGGAGTTGGCTGAATGATTTCACCACTGCTTTACTAATTTACTGCAGGAGGATGTATTCAATTAATGTTATCTGATGTTGAAGAGGAGAATGACAGGACCATAGAGGGAGGGGACAACAGGCAGGTAGAACCAATTGCTGGTCAATTGCCTATTGATGCTTTTCAGATGCAGTTTGGCTCAAGCGATAGGGAGGATGGAGATATGTATTTATATGACTATGGCATGAGGACAGGTTTAAGGAACTGGGTTTTTTTTCACTACTTCAGTATGCATGTCCTGTGTTGTCACCATTCACAGAGGTAACCAGGAGGTAACCCAACCAGGTGAGGATCAGCAACACGATCCCTCTTGTTTTCCTGCTTAAGCAAACACTGGATAGTGTAATAGACCGGTCAGTGGAGGCATAGCAGCAGGAGAAAGAGGAGGACTTCCTGGTGTCTCAGGGCCTGCTTTATCATGACTTTGTCCATGTGAGACAGCACCAGGCAGAGGAGAACCATGAGGAGGAGGTTTGGGGTGCCAGCACTGAGGTGGAGGAGGACATGCAGCAGGCTATCAGGGGTACCTTTCACCCCTCCCAAACCCCAGGAGTTGTACATGGGTGGGGAGAGATAGTTCATGACAACATTGTTCTCAGCAACCCCGAGGACTTGGGTTCCTCTGTCTCCATAAATTTGCGGCAGATGACATCATTCAAGCTGCAGTGCCTGCGCAAGGACCTCAGGAATAATCAAGGAGGGGACCATTACTATTTGGTCACCTTTTTGGATCCACATTATGAGGGGAAAATGCCATAGTTGATCCTGTCATTCCAGAGGGAGCAAAAAAAAATAACATGGCAAACTCTACCTGGTCTCACCCTTTGAAATTGCATCTTATTCAAAAGGATAACATACTGTGCCTCAAATCTGTAGATGTTTTTGTCTTTTGTCCCAGAAAAAATACATTGTAATTTTTATGACAATGGCACAACCATCCTGGTCTCTCCCTCTGACCGTGCATCCTAGTAATAAGGATTGCATCTGTGAGGGCAGGATTACTAATGCGTGACAGTACCAGGAAGTGGAAAGACAATATTTGTAGGTAAAAGCAAAATATGTTTCTTTAACTAATCGATGTAACATGATTTCATATCAGAATGCAGAGCTATATGTGAATGTTTGTTTTCGTGAAAGGGGGTAAAGATCCACTTTAACCACCAGGAATGGCCATGGACGGGAGCCTTATAGGAGCGGGAGGGCGTCTTAAAACGTCTTTCCCCTCCCCCCCGCTCATGCGCGCTGCCCAGCGTGCACATGAGTGGGGAAACTGTCAGAAATGTAAACAGCCACTGGCCATTTGACTGCTATTGGCCATTTTAAGCTGCAAAAGGCAATAGCAGGCTGGCTATTGTACCTGTTAGCTGTGCCACCTCCCAATGTTGATTAGTTGGTTGCAGCCCCAGTAAAGTGAACTTTGCCTAGATTATGTACGCTAAAGTACTTACAACTTCTGAACAAACAGTGAAATCACTTTAAAGCAAGCCCTGAATCACCGGTGTAGCTATAAGCATTGTGGAGACAATTGTCTTTAAAATTCAAAACTTTAGCTCTTTTCTTATTACTTTCTATAGAAGCAGCATCTTGGCAGTCTGCTAGACATCTAATGTAAAGACATGGCAGGTCTTTCTGATAGAAACGTGCTCAAACTCAACTTTAGAGTCTTTGTTTGTATCTTCAAAGAAGAATTACTTCATAAACAAGTAGCTAGAAAGGTCACAGATGGTTTGTTTTAAGTTGCTTGTTACAAACACTTCAATGTCCATAGTCTGGGCACAGATGCACTTTATATTACAGGTGTACAACTGTGGCAAGGTCACTGAGCACTAGCATGACCTGTAGGGCAGACAAATGTTCTAAGCCTAAAGAGACACCCCTCCCCCCTCTATTTGCCATTGAAAAACATCAATACAAATTAGGGATGCACCAATACTGTTTTTTCTGTA